TGAGAGCCTAAGAGGCAATACCCGAAGAAGAAAGCCTACAACCCCCCCGCAAAATACCAGCGGCATTGGTTCGCCAAACGCCATCGAATCCAAATCGCGTGTGGTGTGCGTGTTCACCTTTTTTCTTCAGAGTTGAGCACGGCAACGTGCTGATGTCTGGCAACGTGCAGGGTGCAGGAGATCAAAGAGGACTTGCGTGTGGTTTTTTTCGGACACCCAGGCCTTGGAGGCCCGGGCTTGCAGAAGAGAGAGCACGGAGGACCGAGCACGGGTTTGAATATATACTCTTACTACTCTTGTTAGGCCAGGATGCTGGATGCTGTTCATACTGGTTTTTCCTCCCACCTGCCAGGTGAGGGCCCCTCTGTGGTTGGTGCAACTCCTTCTTTCTCCTCCTTGCCGTGCCTCCTTCGATCTGGATGTGCCAGCTGAAGCCACGGATCCGGACCAGTCGGGACGTTCCCAGCTCGGTGTGGACCATGCCATGCCATACATGCCAACAACGAGAACGTTGTTGAATAGCCATGCATATAGTAACAATCTCCAGAGTTATATAGGTGCCAGATAACATATAAAGCAGCAAGAGTGTCAGAATAGATGCCAGATAGAATGCCGGAAAGAATGTCGGATTAGATGCCAGATAAGAATTCCAGGAAACATGACAACTGCAAACGACAGCCATGCTTCCGCCAAAGGAAGGTGCTGCGGATGGGGTTGTCATCATATGAGATAGCCTCTTGTTGTCTGGTCAGAGTGCAGTTGTCGGATATGTAAAGGAACCGGGCAAAATAGTCCCCGGGAGGGGGAGTCACCCAATAGGGAAAACACAAATCACTGTTAAAATCACCTTAAGCAAAACCAAGAGATTCCAATGCTGTGCTCACAAATGCGGCAGATTTCGTAGCTGAAACACAGCCCAAGGAGAAGGTCGACTCTTGCTTCATCAAAACACTGACACAGATGGTAACACCATTTCTGAATTTAAAGGACTTGTTACTTGTTACTCTATCGGAGTCGCCCATGACGAAGCACCCTCCTAAGCGGCGAAGCGGTCAAGCCCACCGGCTCCACCCCGCGCGGCGTGTCTCGCGGGCGGTGTCCGAGCGGCAGTTGTGCGATCTCCGCGTGGAACTCTCTCACCTGGGCCCCTCCACGCGGTGGACACCGGTCCGGGGGCGATTTCGCGGAGTCCGAAGGCCCCAGTCGAACGGGTGGGGAAAAGACATACACCCGGAAGACGATCCCATGGAACCTGAAAACCACTGGTTGGTAGAGGAAAATAGGGCTTCCAGAGGACCATTGTTAGGGTCTATGTTCGTTTTCGGGAGTGTAGCCGTGCAACGCTGCAGAGTTAAAAGAGTGTTGCTAAGAACGAAGAACAAATGAGTGAATACAGCGCGTCTCCGTGTTAGACGGGTGAGGACAAAGACACATGAAACATGTTCCACTCATCATTCCTCGATCATGCGTGGAGAAAAGCAAAACACCAACAAAAAACTATTCATTACTACTAATTTTAGACTAACTACCCCAAAATACCCCAAACCCATGGTGAAGAAAATCTTCCAAACCCTCACCCAGTGGCTTCATCTTCCTTCTCCCGCTCAAACTCTTGGAATTGCTGCAACATATCTCGCGCATCGCGCTCAAGCCTGGCCGGCTGGCGAGGCCGCACCCGTCTCGGAGACGGGGTGAGCGGACTGCGTATTCTACGGCCACGGCCAGGGTGTTGAAGAGCCCGCGGTGGCAGTGAACTACACAACAGAACTCGTTTCCCAAAAGGGGTGCGACTGAAGCGACTGAAGCTCATGCCTTTGACCTATGCATGCTATGCTTGGCCGACCGGAAGCAATCCTGTCGGCGTCCTTTCCCATCCTTTCCCCAAGTCACGCTTGCTTGCGCCCCGCACCTATGTCCTATTACAATGTAGGGTACGGGTACGGGTATACGGTATAAGTATTATTTCAACAGGTACCAGCACAACCTCTGAACATACAGACTGAAAGTCGTTTCTGCCTCTACGGATGCCTCTGAAAAGTCCCAATCCCCACAAACCTTGCCTGCCACGAGTGAATCAGGCCCCAAAGCAAAAAAACTCTTGTTTCAGTCCACCCAGCAGACTTTAAGGTTCATCAATGGTTGGCAAAGACTGTGACATACTGTGACTATCCGTGGAGACAAAATGTCACAGTCCTCCACAGAGACATCAGGTCAGACGCCGGTCGGTGGACATCTTCGTCTTGGTCAAAGACCGGTCGTGAGACTCTCCATTTTGGGAAAACCATCTGGAACCTTTTGGGCCATCTGCCGTTTTCTTCACCTCATCTGGGCAGCCCTTCCACGAAGATCCTGGAACCGACTTCCGCCGTTCAGTGATTTGTCTCTTAGAAGGACATTGGGGTTGGACTCAGCTTCGCAACCATGCCGTCGCCATTCCCACACCGGTCACCCTCCGAATCTTGGAAGAACAAATCAGGAATCATTGGCACGAATGAAGCAGAGAATGAGATTCTCCATGCTAGACGATTCATGGTGGCACAAATATGGCCTACACTTATATATATATATATATATTGGTGGTGTTCGGTGAATGTAGGTCAGATGTGCGCCACCATGAATCATCTGGGCCATCTGAACTTCTCCCTCCCCCAA